CCTTTGGAATATCCAATATCACCTACGCTGCAAAAATACTGCTGTAGGAAGTTAGCACCCACCCCTCTCCTAGAAAAATGAAATATCCTAGGAAATATTAAAAAGGCAGAATATTTCCTCTAAAAAGAGTAGAAACTCAGAGGCAGAAACTCACCTCAGTAGCTGAAGCTCACCCCCAGCTTTGCTAATGGACCATTACTCTGGCCTGGGCCAGTCTATTTTACATAACAAAAATCTACTCCAGGTATAGCTAAAATAGGAATTGCCCAAAGCCCTTTCGTTATATCATCATCCAGAAGACTCAACCAAGCCTGGGACTCAGGACAGTCTACAGAGTTGCTTCTGCATGGCCCCATTGGGAGTCTGACAACCCATCAGAATACAAGCTCAAATTCAAATCCCAACAGAGAGTATAAAACAATTGCACTCTCAGCATATCAGCCCTTCTTTCTTCACTCAAGAAATGTGTAAGAAATGTGGTCCTGTCCACCATTAAACCATCTTTCCACGTAGTCACCATGTTTCCAGTGTCTTCCTTCCCCGCTTGGAACTGAACACACTTTCAGCACCGTCTGTGCATATGAACGCTTTCAGTGGAAAAAAAAAAGTGTAAGAAATAAACCATGATTCCAAATGAAAAAAACCCCTGAACAAAGTGGAATTCAGAATCAGCCGATTCTGAAGAATGCCATTTTATCTATGACTTCCTATGCCTCGGGGGTTGAATGCAAAGTCCTTCACTGATCATCCAGAGACCTAATAACATCAATGACCAAGTGACAGGCCAGACCTCACTCTCTTCCTTTCCCACTCCACCAATCTAGCACAAGATGCAGAAAAAAAATACGACATCATGCCCTGGGGGTTTGCAAATCCCGCTCCACCATTGCGTAGATAAAAAGTCCTGCCTTCGCAAACCGTCATGCAAGGAACTAAAAAGAGAGAGAGAGACTTGGCTAGAAAAAGATTTATCTTTTTCGCATCCATAATTTAAGCTGGAAGCTCCAGCATTCAAAGCAAATGGGGATATTTTAAGGTAGCTGCTTCTAAATCTGGCCACGATTTCATAACCTGTTCACTGGATGCTGTTCCAAATGAAGACATCCATGGGTTTTGTGGCTGATGGAGATGTTTGGGATGTTTGGGGTTGAATGATTGTTGTTTCCTCCCCCCCAAACACTACAGATGTTCTGACTCAGGATTCATCAAACTTAATGAAAGACAAACTTATTTTAAAAGCAAAACCTATTTTAATGCAATGCTGGGAATTACTTTCATTCCCAGCCAGAACTAATTATCTACAGTTCCCCCAGATAAGAGCACTCCGTTTAGGGCTGTAGAATGCTGCCCAAAAAACAGAAGTCCAATTAATTATAACATAAACCAATCAAAGCCCCAGAAAAAAACAACAACCAGAGTTCACAGAGCTTCAAGGAGGATTCGGAATCTATCGAACTACTTTGCTTCCTGCAAAGAGTTCATCATTGAGGTCTGACTTTTATCCCTTATGGGAGCGGCAATCACCTCCCAGCCTTATTCCCGAGTTGCCCCTTTTGTCTCAACTGCTCTCTCCTTCTAGCAGCTCTGTGCACACGCACACTAGGAACAGGCTCCCCTGGGTCCTCTGCCTCGCTGCTGCCAGACTCCGAAGGCAGCACCCCACTCCCAGCTGGTCCTGGCCCCATCCTTGCATCAGATGCAGGACCCTCATCCGAGTCCTCTCCAGGCTCCCTGCTTGGTCCCCTTTCTTCTTCACTGTCCAACTCTGCTACCGTCTGCACTGGCTGCCGGTGAACCACGACACCAGAATCCTGAAGCTGATTGATAACCCACATGCCGATTGTTAGTTTGTGTCTGGGCCTCCGAGACAGGCAGAAAATTTTCTCAACCAGCATGGCTTTCCCCCCATTTAATGGCTATATTAAGCTCATCGTTTCTCAAGGCTCCAGAAAACCAAGTCTTTTGAAGGTCAAAAAACACTTCTCAGCGGAGATGCTAAATATAGTGCCACAGAGAAACCTTTGAGAAGAGGGCCTTCTGCTCCAGTTGGTGGCTTTGATGACAAAATAGAACATTGCCTGTGGAGCAATTTCTAACCAGTAGGGTTGCAAGTGGACCGCAAACAGTAATTGTCATTTCCTGGGGCTGGTTCACATACTGGTGGCCCAGTATGGGGTTGAATTCCCCTTTGCTGGCTGTGTCTCAGCAGAAGTTGAAGAGACATTCCTCGCGGATGTTAAATGTCAAAAAACATAAGTCACCAGCAGCCTTTTCATTTAGAGGAGGAATTGCGGTGATTGACGCCTGTAGAGATTCTCAGTCATCCAGGTTCATGGTTGTCCCAAAGGTGCTTTTTTTAAGGAGGCAGCTGGATTTTTCTTTGTTTTTTTTCTTTTGATGATGTTTCACTTCTCATCCAAGAAGCATCTTCAGCTCTGACAGGATGGCGGGGAATGGAAGGATTTCTATATTATATATTTATATATTATATTTAGATTCCTTGCAGACAGCTGGACATTTGCATCCTTTTAGAGGGTCTTCAAGTGCTTCAATGACCCTCTGAAAGGATGCAAATGACCAGCTGTCTGCAAGGAATATAAATATAATATATAAATCCTTCCATTCCTCACCATCCAGTCAGAGCTGAAGAAGCTTCTTGGATGAGAAGCGAAACGTCTTCAAAAGAAAAAACAAAGAAAAGTCCAGTTGCCTCCTGAAAAAAAAAAAAAAACACCTCTGGGACAATCCTGGTGATTGATAATGAAGACACACTGATTTGAAAGAGATCCTGTATTAAATTTTGACTTTATTTTTTAAAACTCTTCACTCTGTGGTGGAGAAATTTGGATTCCACTCCCCCCACCCTGGTTCTTTATCGTTATCCCAAATCCTTATTTAGGTTATTTAGGATAGAGACTCAAAAGACCTTTGTAATGAAGGGGTTGCTGAGTATATCTCCACCCCCTCAAAGATGTCTAGTTGCTGAAAGAGTTACAAGCTTGTTGAGATTTGAGCAAATGTAGCATCCTTTCTCCCTCTACCTCCAAAACAGCAGATCAGAGCTGGTCCAGGCCAGGTTGCATCACAAATGGATACAACCTCCTAGTTTTGAAAAGCAGACTGCAATATGGTAAGGAAGAAAAAGATGAAGATTTGGGTGAAGAAAATATAACCAATCTGCTCTGCATCTTTGGATCACAGTCACTATACATTCCTAGACAACTGTCATGGCATAGAATATCAGGGGTCTTCCAACTCGACAGCTTTAAGACTTGTGGACTTTAACTCCCAGAATTCCTCCTCCAGCCATGTTAGCTCAGGAATTCTGGGAGTTGAAGCCCACAAGTCTTAAACTTGCCAAGTTCGAAGACCCTTGCTCTATTTTCTCTCTCTTTCTCTCTTATCCTATCTCTCTCTTTCTATCTATTCTACCTCTCTTTCTCTATCTAATCTATCTATCTATCTATCTATCTATCTATCTATCTATCTATCTATCTATCTATC